AAGGTACAATTCCCAATGAGAAATATAATTGTGTTGTATACCTACAATGTACCAATAAAAGAATTTAATACAAAAAAAAAGAATATTAAGCATTGAGTCACTGAAAATACTTAAGAATAAGTGTCCTTGATTTAAATTTCTGACAGTTATATCTCAGAGCATTTAAAACTGTTTTTCTTTACAATAATACAATATAGCATAAAATATGTACCTGATTTGTCCTTAAAATTCATTGAAAACTCTGAAAAGTCTTTAAGGTCAAACTCCACTGTGGCACGTGTTGCACCTCTGTTTGTTATTACAAATGGAATAATATGGGTAGCGCCAACGAAGGTGCCACTGAAATTAAATACAGTCTAAAATTTAAAAAGAAAAAAAATAAGTATAAATAACGGTTTATTAAAAATATATACTCAAAATAGTACTTCATATTTATCGAGGAATTTATTAACTGAAAAGCAGAACTCTGTAAGAGTCACAATTTTCTTCCTCTCTCTCATCCTCTACATGTAATCAATAACAAATTCCATTAATGTTGCCCCCGCTTCACCTCTTACCCTTGTTTTAACTGTTAATTAGTAAACTATCAATTTTCATTTAGTTTCTAGATTTTGAGTTTCCTAAGCCTTCTCCGATAACTAAGCCACTATTAAACTAATTGAGTGTCTGATCACTTTACTCCTTGCCTTAAAATTTGATGGTTTCTCCACATCTACAGGATAATGCCCAAGCTCATTGGCAGGGCTCATAAAGCTCCTTGCGATCTTTCCTGCATTGTGTTCCAGCTTCAATTAGCTCCACTCTCACCCTAGCACTTAATATTTCATCAAGCTGCATGACTTGTCATTTCTAGCCAACAAGTGATACTTCACCCTTCATGGCTTCTGTCAGGAAGCCCATTCCCTGACTAGCAATCGCCTAATCGCACAGTTCTCAGGACTACTCTGTTCCTTCTATTGACTAACATTGTGACGCCATATAGTCTGTTTACATATGAATCTCCTATTCAAGAGTCCAGTTCATTTTTGTATTTTTCGTACCTATTTGGTACCGATCTAACGAAAGAAATAGTTATTGAATGTATATGCACTCTCGCTCATATATTAAGCATATGCCACAAAATTCTTAAGGTTCCATCTTATGACAGATACTATAGATACCCTATAGTTTCTTTTTTTTTTTTTTTTTTTGGTACCAGGGATCGAACTCGGGTCCTTGCTCTTGCGCTCAGTGGTTTCGCCACCTGCTGCACAAGTGCTAGGAACCGAGTTCGATCCCTGGTACCAAAAAACAACAAACAAAAGAACAAACAAAAAAAGAAAACATTAAACATTAAGAAAACACATTAGTTCCTTAAGAAAACATTAGAACATTAAATGGAGATTAGTTAACAGTATAGTTACAGGAAAATACCGTATTAGGTTCAATTAGCTATTATTTGTTTCATTTAAAGTATCAACCCAATTTTATATGAAATTTGCAAACTCCTAAATAGATAATGAAAGTCTGGTGCTTTGTAAATGTAAAAATATTCACTGCCCTTATCCCATTGTTGTCTTGCTTATGTTCTCACTTGGCCAAAATATCCTAATTGTGATTAAGATATATATTCAAAAGCAAAGCCTTTACTAGGTTGTTATAAGCTAAATGCATTGTGGAAAGTATATTTTGGTGTTAGAGTATTAGTTTTAAAAGGCAGCTTCATCTAAAATCCAAAATAAGGATATATTACTAAATATACTAACATAAAAAGTTCTATAAATTATTCAATTGAACTATAACATGCAAAGCATGCCTCAAATGACTTTACACTAAGGACATAAAGTAATAAAAGTCTCAGTACTGTCTAATATTTTCCAAGATGGCATACTATTGCAGCGGAATAAAAAACTCTGGATTCTATAAGATTTAGTCTCCAGGAATCACTATAGCCTTGGAGAAGCTAGCTTACTATCTGTCAGTCTGTCTGGGCCTGATAGGCCCTCATCACTGAGTAATAGGCAAGTTAGAAAATTATACATTTAAGCTAGACCCTAGAAATTTTGTGATGCCATTATAGGACACAATAGCCCTGAGATCTACCTGAAGCAGCCAGCTGACCTCTTCATTCCTAAAATTCTGCTCCATTTAGTGCAGCACTAAAATGGTGCTAGGTGATGAAGAATGAGTGGAAGACAAAACCAGAATGCAAGTAATCTAAAAGTAATGGAACAAATGCTATGATGGAGATGTTCCCAGAGTAGAATATGTCTATAATATCTATGTCATAATAGGGAGCATGTAGCTTTGCTTTGAGGAATCAAAGGAAGTTTCTGTGGATAGATGAGACTAAATCTTTTATCGAAAGGCTGGCCAGGAAAAATTAGGATTTATTTCTATATGTATGTGGGTGTGTGTGCATGTGTGTATGTACTCTATCAATTTTAGAACAAAATTTTTGTTTACAGATAATAAATCACAAACTAAATGTGACTATAGTCCAGAAAATGCAAATCAAGATCACAATGATGTATCATACTTGATTGAAGACAATACAACGTGAAGAGCAATGGAATGCGGAGCAAAGGGAACACAAAAAGGAACTGTACGAATTATTTTATAAAGTCAAACATGGACATACTCAATATCTCAGGAATTCTACTCCTATAAAGGCACTGGAATATAAGTAGTCACAGCTATATTTTATATTAACAAAAACCAGGAATGCCTAAGTGGAGGGACAATGGATTGAGTACATAAATTATAGTATGTTTACACAAAATAATTATATAGTAGTGACAATGAATAACATAGTTACATATAACTTAGAACATGGGAACCACAATATTGAATAGTGACTCCCCAAAGGCTATATACAGTACGTCTTTATTATACAGCTCAAAAAGGAACAAATTAATGCATGGTTAGGCACTTACACTTACAGTGTATGATATCATTCACAAGTGATTATCTCTATGATGGATTGGACTGTAATGAAGCCTACAAATGATTTTAATGATATTGGCAGTGTTCTGATATCTACACTAAGTGGTAAATTTGTAAAGAAATGGTTCATTATACTGTTACATCATTTATACATTATACACATTAATATTTATATGTCAAATTACTTCATAGTAAAATGTGTTTAAAATATAACTTGGGATATATAAGAAATAAAATTCAGCACACTCATAAATTGACCATACACATAGGTAATATACTCACCGGCTTGATTTCAACATCAGCCATCTCACCAGATCCACCAATTCGAAGGTCTATAGTATTTGCACAGTGAATAGCAACCTTATTTAGAAGAAATATAAAACTTTGTAAACACCACATTAAAATATAATCGTATATTGCTAAATATTATCTGGTATTTATAAAACAGTTCATAATTTAAATAACAGTATCATAATATAAATGTACAAAAATTGTTATGACAGTTGTATTCACATTTCTTGTGCTGTAGAATTGACACTTCTGTGAAGAGTGAGTGTCCAGCCAATAAAAACCACCACAAATGAGAAACCACTTAAGAAATCAAGGTGACTAATTCACTCTTCCCTAGAATCACTGACACTACTCATAGGTAAATCAATCACAAAATACCACTTTCCAGAATCATTTGGGAAATCAATATGCCAACTCAATGGTATTAATTAAAATTTCTATGTTCTTAATATATTATTCTCACATTTATTTAAAAGTATATAAGCACAAAATATTTAACTAAAATCACAAGGAGAACAGAGATTCAGAAGAAATTACATATTGACATGCTCTTCATTAACTCCATGTAAATCTCAACCTCCATGGCTTACTTTTACTCATTGCCTCATCATTCTTTATTTAGAGAAGACTTCTAGCTGCCTTAACTTACTCACCATCCTAGCCTATTGTTTCCTCGACCTTTTCATCTCTAGAGACTTAAAACACCCCCGGACAATATGACCAATCATAAATACATAATATCTAAATCCATACATTCATTTATTTATCCCTTCTTTTTCACTCAATGCAAAGACAGGAGTTCCAGAATATTACATGTCACGATGCTGTTACGTTTTGATATACAATGAGTCCCTGAACAGCTCCAATTCAAACTCTCTATTTTTCCCTCCATTCAAATTTTTCCAAAATATATCATTGCAACTTTTTACTTAATAATACATTTGATCCATTTCCATTCCTCTAGGTCCTTCTAGGGACATTAGAAAAATTCCTTCTCACCTCTAAGATTAATCGTTAGTCTTCACAGTAGTATGTAGAGTATATGTGACTATTCTTATATCAGACATCTCTATGTGGAGATCCAAAAGATGTTTCCAACTCAAACAAGCATTTCCATTTAGAATCTTCCATTCATCTTTTGATCTTTCCACACTGATTTGCCACCATCTGTCTCACCATTGATTTGCCCATCTCACATATATGTGACCCCTTTTCAACAACCAACCCTTAAGAGTCATCTCCTAAATTTGACTAGAAAATGCCCAGAATATGACTTCTTGAAGAAAACATCATTTTTTTCTTGCATGGACATCTTCATCAGCCTTAGAACTCTGTAATTAATTTTCTTGGACCTAGTTTACAGCTCTATAACCAAAATGATCTCTGAAAAATGCAAATATTATTGTGAAATCCTCATAGTGAAAACCCCTAGCTTGTAAGATGAAGGTTGCATTTCTTAGTGTTGTCAGTAAGACCTTGTGTTACCTAAAACTTCCACAAGTCTCTAAGTACATCTTTCCCCACTATCATTTATGCAGTCTATAAATCTAGTCATGCTAAACTGCTTCTCATATACATCTTGCAGCTGTCTCTCTCCCTTAAGCCTAAATACATGCTTTTTATCCTCCCTTGAATATTCTTTCTTCCTCTCTTCTCTCATTATTTTCCTTAAAACAGCCTGATTCTCTTTATTTTTATTTTTTATTTTATGAAAAATAAAATTTTATAACAAAATAATAAAAGAATAAAAATAGTTAATACACTGTGTATTCTAATCTTAAAAATATTTATCTGATTCTTAACTTGAGGTGTCTGGTTTTACTTTTCTTTTAAATTAATTTATTAGTATATCTGTGACACATAATAAATATATTCATCGTGGGAATTGGTACTTACACATATCACATCTTGATCCTGTTTTCTTCCCCTTCACCTCCCCTCCCTCCCATCTTCCCCATCCCTAAATTCCACTCCCATCACCACAAAGTCTATCTCCATGTTTCCTAACATATATCTTTTATTTTGATCTTTAAATTATTTATACTTTGGGTTTATCATATAAGATGCACCATGTGACATTAAACATGCTGTCTGATTTATTTCACTTAGTATTATGTACTTCAGGTACGTCTGTTTTCCTAAAATGACTCAAATGTATCCTTATTTATGGCTGAGCTATATATATATATATATATATTATATTTTATACATTGCATTTTCTTTATCCATTCATCTTTTGATGGGCATCATATAGGCTGCTTCCATGATTTAGCCATTATGAGCAACTCTGTAATATTTTAAGCCTGGGTTTTGTAGCTTTCCTGAAGCCCTTAGCCTTCTGTTTTCTCCACTGTAGTACTTATTACACTGTAGTTTGATGGGTGATTGATTTTTGTGTGCATCCCAATAGATAATAAATTCTTTGAGATTAAGAAACCTAATTACTTACTTTGTATCCCTAGCATCTACAACAGAGATTGGTGTATGTTGTGAATGTTAAATGCATGAATAAATAAAGTTCATTATTTTATAATGTCACAAAAAGTAAGAGTGGTAAAAATATAATTGTCTAAAAAGCAGTGAAAATTAATTTTAGTAAAATCTTATTTTTATTTTCTCCAGAATATTGTGTAAAAAATTTTGACCAAGCCTAAAATAATATTAAACAGTATATAATTTATAGATTTCTTTCAACATATAGTTATTTATAAAAATAAGTTACCATTCTTAGGTTATTCATTTTGGGGTCATGAAAATCAACGTGTGATATTTAACATTAAATTAAGCTACATATTACTTAATCACTTATTGTTATGGTAATTTAAAGAATAAAATGGAGAATATAACTAAAGCTATTCATTTTTCCAAGTGACAGTTGCATATACAATTTTTAATGCGAGAAAATGCATACAACTGATCACCAGATTGAAGATTAAGTGTATTACACTCCCTCAGTTTTATAATTGAATGAAATTTTGCACAGAGTAGTCTTTCATGTTTTATTTGTTCTGTGTAAAGAGGGCTTAGGGAAATGCCTAAAATCAAGGTAATATCTTTGCAGTTACATAATTCCTAGAAAACAAAGCCGGAAAATTTTTGTGTTACCACATGTGGATCTTAATAGTACATACAAATTGCATACAATTCATATAGTTATCAAAATTATTTAGAATTACTTACCACAACTGATCATTTTTCCTAAGCTACCTAATGTTATGAAAAAGCCATACTCCTTTCTATGATCAGTGAAGTTTTGTCAAGACTCAGAGTTGCCAAATATCACTATATTCTTATGTGAAAATGCCCCATATTCATGGAATGTCTATATTTCAACTTAGTAGAAATGTCCATTACCAACTTCCAACACAAACACATTTTCTGCAAATACTCCTCAAGTTCTGCTGTACTTAATTTTAATTTATATGATTTAGAGAAGATCATTTATTTTTTAGATTTCTAAAATTTATACATCTGTAGAACTCAGTTTCTAGAAAATTAATAGAAAATTTTAAAATTGCCCTTTAGTGTCATAAGTTCAAAATTCTTTACCAATAGAATAATCAAAACAATTTTTGTAAGAATGAAAGTGCACAGCATTTTATACCTACTAAGTTAAATATTTTAAAGAACCAATCAAACTGATATAGTTATACAGTGTAAAACATCTATGTATAGACATACCTTTGCTTTTGTATCAAATTTTTCTGCAACAGTGGGTGTACAGGAGATATGAAGAACAGTTATTCCCCCAAATGGGATTATTCCTTGTGGTGGAATAATATTAATGGTAGACAAAAGACTCTCATCACAAACCTGTAATTGAAAATTTGTAGAAATGCTACATAATGTTTAAAATTACTGCTTCATAGCTTTCATAGGAAAGCATCCACACCACTACTTAGACTGAATACTTGAGCACAGGACATGAGGTGATTTTGTAATATTGGTTGAAAATATCAGACACACAATGTGAACCTACCACGAGGAACTTCAACTCTCATTTGTAAAAGGAATCTATAGTAGGAGCATTTTCTGATTCAAATAGGATGATGAAGTTTATTTCCTAGGGTGCTCTCAAGACTGCAAAGCTTAAACAAATGAGACATATCTCTTAGAGATGGTGAGAACATTCTAGATACAACGTTAATATCTTGCCTTTCCCAGATGCTAAAGCACAGTTAGTGGGAAGACCTTTTCTTTCTTATGTCCCTTATAGAAAGCCTAACGTCTAAGATATCATTTTGATTTTTAAAAATATTATAAGTAATTTACCAAGGCTTTATGTGTAATTTGCTAAAGGTCAATTTAAACATATTTACCATCCTTAAATACAGAATAATGTTTTCTGAGATAGGGTGTATAATGTAGTTCAGGCTGGCCTTGAATTCACTATGTAGCCCAGGCTGGCCTTGAACTTGCAGCAATCTCCTGCCTCAGCCTCCCAAATGCTGGGATTACAGATGTATGCCACCGCATCCAGCTAATTCAGAATAATTTAAAAGGCAACTGGTCATAATATTTTAGGAGCAAGCAGACAAATAGACTATTTAGGCAAGAACTAATTCTGAAGCAGTAAAGTAGAAGAGGATATTTTCAGTTATTTTGGCTAGAGTTGATCTGAGCAGAAAAAGATATGCTAATGTAAAGCCTGAATGAAAGATTTCACATGTTATAGTCTTGACATATTTTTTCATTAAAAAATCTCTTAACACCACTTAGTCCTTCACTCCATTTAAATAAGGAGCAACAACTATAAATAGACTATCTTCAGAATGGCATCCATGTAAGTGTCATTTGATACCATAACAGCCCTGACTATAGAGTGGAAATAAAGGGAAAAGGAAAAACATTTAATTAAATATGGAATGAAGCATTAATACTATATATTTAAAACATTTTTCAAACACTTTTAAAACATAAAACTAAATAGCAGACCAAAGGAGAAAAATGGGGAAGAGGAGAAGAAAGGAAATACCTAAGGGAGGAAGGGAGGAGAAACAAGGCTTATGAGAAATTAAAAGGACAAACCAGATGAATAGTATTGAGAAAGAATTTATTAAAAAACTTAAAAGTTAGCACAAATCTATGTCTTGGGAATAAAGTATTATCTTTATATATTCATAACACCAACAACCTGATTCAAATCATATGATCTGATTCAAATAAGAAATAACCAAAATTCAATATTACCTTGAAAAATGCATGATTTTGTCCTATATTATGAAGAATGGCTTTCTTCCAAGTTGTTAAACCTTGAGGACTATTATTGAATAATATCCTTGGTTCCAAAAATGTGACTGTGGTGTTACCAACCTTGTAATGAGGGGAAGAAAAGGAAAAATCCAAATGAAATAATAATAAATAAAATAGCTTAATCACTTTTTTCATAAAAATGAAGTATTTTAATTGTGAATGCATTAACTAAAGATATTATTACTGAAAGATGAATAATATTTCTGTATCATTTATTTAATATGTTTTAGCATACAAAATAAATCTCACATGACATTATTACATTCCCATTTTGATTAAGAAGTATTCAAGATATTATAACATTTTCCTAAATTTAAAATGAATCTGTAACAATCCAGTTAAAATACAATGAAATTGTAATAGGAGAAATTTTATTTAGGTAACTTGGTTGTACCACTCATAATTAGATATTTAGGGCTTAGCTATTTAAGTATTTTTGACAAATTTATCTAGATATTTTGGTGGTAATAATCATGATGATAATGACAATAATAAATTTGTGTTCCCAGTATGAACCAGACATATTAGTTCTTCATTTACATTTTCACTAGGATCCAGCAGACCAGAAAATACCTAGGGGGCAGCTAAACTATATTACTTATCTTTAAATACCGAGTCCACATATGGCCTGATACAGAGAGTGGGCTAAGTAATTAACTATTAGATAAATCGATGATGGTACTGTCATTTTTCACAGCTGAAGAAATCAAATTTAAGGTGATTATGGAAATCATACAATGGTTAAATAACATTTACCAACACTTCAAAATACATATAAACCTATTTCATAATTTTTGATGCATCAATCTAGTGTTGTATCAGTACAGCTGAAAATAAAACCCTTATTGTAATAAAAGTCAGTACTGCATGTGACAAAAAGGACAAAGTAATGACACCAGTGGTAAAATATATTTGCATTCCTATAACTCAAGTTTTTATCTTCATGCTGATTTTTAAAACATAAAGTGTTTTCAGATATTGTGGTGTTTTTAAGAGAAAAGAAAAGAAAATGGAATATTTAAAATATACTTCCAAACTGAGGAAGGCATGGTAAGTAAGATAATTCTATGGCAAAAGTGAATCCAGGAATGAGAAACATATTTATCAATCACAGAAAGACTCTTAGAAAGAATCTCCTTAACTATGTACAGAATGTTACTATGTGCTATATAAAAGAAGAGGGTTCAACGGTCACATAAATATGGGAAACATGTTGCCAAGTGAAATTGTCCAGGCATGTTTCTACCAGACGTTTTCTCATAGAGCTCAAAATGCTGATAATAAACATTTTGCTTATTTAAGAATGAGGACATAGTTCACTGTGATTCAAAGAATTATGCAAACACAGCTCTCCCTTTCCTCATTCCACACAAATAACTTCACAAACCAGTAAATTGTAGAACACTTTTTCTTCACTCATCAATTGAATCACTAGTAAACTTGTCATAGGGTTGTTTTTTAAGGATTAAATTATCTAATACACGAACAGCATGGTATGTGATACACAATAATTATTCAATAAATGGTATCTATTATTGATGTTAACTCTAAATTAGTTAATTCTTCATCTTTTATCTATTAGAAAAAAACGTGCAGAGTACATCAACAAATCTATAATAGTAAACTCGATGAACATAATTACATAAATAACAGTTTTAAAAACTGTAATATATTCATCAAAAGATAGTCATAAGAATGGTAATGGAAAATTATCATATTGACTAAATTTTCTATTGTGATGATGGGGACTGAACCTGGGGAGTAAGTTATATCCCCAGCTCTTTTTTTTTAAATCACATAATAAGATCTTGCTAAATTGTACAGGCTGGCCTTGATTTTGTGATCCTCCTCTATCAGCCTCCTGGGTAGCTGGGATTATGGGCATGTGTCACTGTGCCTGACTATAGTAGGTAAACATTTGAAATAACCCAAATCCCTACTAGCAGTATAAAGGGTAAGTGATAGTAAAGTCATACAGTTGGATACTATTCAGGAATGAGAATGAATAATCTGCAGCCATATGCATCAACATAAATTAATCCCATAAACTTCAAGATCAAATAAAGCCACACATTAAAGAGCATATTTGACTTGATTACATGTATGTAAAGTTCAGAATCAAAATTAATATATACTTGTAGAAGTGGATATTGATGACCATGGGAGAAACCCTGAGAGAAATGTGAAGTAGGGATAGTGATGATTCTTTTGTAATACTAACCATGTTCTGTTTTTTGATCTAGCTGAACTTGTAGTGGTTTACAAAAGTGTTATAAGTTTGTAAAGACTGAGTGTGCTTCTTTCTGTATGTATCTGTCAATACATAGTTTTACAAAAAATATTAAGTAATTTACACATAATGAAAACCAGTAGGAGTCAGCTTGTTTTAAATTTGTGGTAGAAGAAAGAATACTGTGTTCTGACTGTCATTTTCCATCACTAGAGTTGGTAAATCTCTCATAACTTTAGACTCCAAGTTCTTTCCCAGCTAAAACATGTAAGAGCGCTATCATATCGTGGAGATAGATAGCAATGGAATTCTGTAAAATTGCCATTTGTCTTGTTTTAAATTTCTAAGAACATTGTGAGGGAATAAAATAAAGTGTACTCTTAACCAAAAAAAAAAAGAAACTATAAAATTATCTATTGCAGCTTTAACTTTACCCATATTTTTATCATAAGAAGTATATTCTATAAAAATATGTCTTTCTTTGAAATGTAAATTACATATCCATTTTATATTGAATTATTAACTGCTGCAACTAGAATATTAATAGTCCAATACAGTAGAGCCAAATATAACTCTATTTTTCTTTGCTATCTATTAATGAAATAATTTTATTTCAACTGGCTTACATGATGTTGTTATGCATTTATAGAGTCTCTGACAGTCTAGTATTCTCTTAAAAAATGTCTTAGATTTCTGAGTTAATTTTAAATAACATAACATTTTTTACTAAAGCCTTCATTCATGGTAAACAAGAGGATTCATGAAAGACCTAAGACAATTTAGTTACTTAAATATTGCATGAATAGTCAGTTTTTCATACATTATATAATTATACATATATATGCTACATATTCAAGTATACATGTGCAAATACTCAACAGTTACAAGCATCAAAATAAAAATTATGTTCAAGGGAAATAATTACATTCGCAATACATTGTAGTGTTAAGGTGTTTCCATCAATAACATGAAGAATAAATTTCCCTCTTTCTGGAGAAGTGAAACCTGGCTGCCATGTTATTTCACATTCCAATGATGAATATGCTTCAATAATGCCTACAGATAATATATAGAGAAAAGAAGATCTATATTACATTTTTATTAAATTGATTTTTGTTACTACTGAAAATCACAGATAGCCTAAAAATGCAATGGCATTATACAATAAATTATTAAAGTTAAATTCTGCAATAGGAAAATGATAAGTGAGATATTATCAAATGAGCAGACTTATAGGATTTGATTAAAATCTAATATGCACACCATATTTCTCAACTTTAAAAGAGAAATGAAAATATGTCAATGTTTGTAGAACAATACAAAATATGTCATGAAGCAAACACTCTAAGATTAGAGAGGGCTTTAAGTACAAAATACAGAAAATTATTTGTTATCCTTCATCAAAGTGTTCCATTTCCCAACTTTCTTTAATACTTATCAATATCAGACACTCAATCACCATTCAAAGGAAAGACTTACCATTACTCCAAATTATTTTTTGAAATGTATATATCCCTAGAGATGTAAATTCTCATATAGCTAATAATAATTAACATACTTCTATAATTAAAGTGCATTGAGAATCCACATGGTATCAGGCATATTTGGTGTGAGATAGTCCACTTATTTATATTTATTAAAACCTTTGGAGCAAGGAAAAGCATATTTTAAGGAAAAATGACTCAGAAGTTCTTCCTTTCATAAAAGAGGAGGCTCTGAAATTCAGGGGCACTGGATAATGAATGAGAGAGATGAGTGATTATCATGAACTTTAGCTTGGGTCAGTTTGGTTGTTAAAGGAAAATAACAATACATGTAAACATATTAACAGTGTATGATGCTCAGAAAGCACATAGTTTCAGATGTTAACTCTTTTGTATGGCAACACTACTTTAGGCACAGTAACTTATAAAAGGGAGAGAGCCAATTATGGAAGTACTAACAGACTGGTTAAGGTCCATCCAGATTAATTTAACTGTAACAAAATGTTGTATTACAGGGGGTTAAATAGATAGGGATGTATCTTTTTTTTTTTTTTTTTGTACCGGGGATCGAACTCAGGACCTTGTGCTTACTAGGCAGGCAGCGGAACCACTGAGCTAAATCCTTGGCCCAAATAGGGATGTATCTTATATGATAAGAAGTCCAAGGATAGATACTCTAGGGGTATCTGAACAGATTGACAAAGGCTGCAAGAACCAATATACCTTCTAGCTACTCATACTACTCTTCCTTAGTATGTGGCCTTCCTAAGTATGGAAAGGCATTATATGTCATAGTGATTAAAAGAGCAGAAATTCTAGTGCCAGTCTTCCTGGTTCAAGTTTAAAATCTGCCACTTGCTAGCTCAAATACTGGGAAATTTAATTAATTCTCTGTAATTCAGGTCAAAGATACTTAAAATATGGAAAACAAGTGTACCTAATTCAAAGAATCATTCTTAGTACTAAATATATATATATATTAAAAGTACAATATCAGTTATAAAAATAAATTTAGATTCTATGTATTATATAAATGTATATATAACATAAAAATAAATATACATATATATGCATATATACACACATATATACATATGTGTGTGTGTATATATATATATTTGAAACAGTGTCAGCACATAGGAAGAGGATGGAACTAAAATAAAACTTCTGTCTGTATGGCTTTTTTTAACTTTAAAAATTTTATTAGTATGTTTGCAGTACATGCAGTTTACAATTATCTTGGGGGAGTGGATACATGTCTGAACTACAGCTTGTTTCTTTTTTAACCTCTTTCCCTCCCTTCTTCCTCCCTCCTCCTCTAATTCTCCTATCTTGATTTAATTCTTGTTTATATTATTAATCTTAACACATCTTATGGCATATAATGTTTACATTCAGTGAGGTTATTAAGTTCCTCTACATGGCATATCTTTATTCTATTTCTCCTTCCTCTTTTCCTCACCCCTCACCCTTGTTCCCTTGGATCACTTTGCTATTGCAAGAGATCCCCCTACTTGATCCTTTCTATCTATCCTTTAATATTCTCTTTGTATTTTGCTTCACTCAAATGAGAGATACCATATGGTATTTAAGCTTGTGTGTCTGGTTTATTTCACTCAACATTATATTTTCCAGGTGCATCCATTTTCCTATAAATGTCTCAAATTTGTCATTTATTATAACCAAGTAGTATTCTACTATATATAGATACACCATTCTTTTTATCCAATAGTCTTTTGATGGGTATACTGGTTGCTGTCAGGATGTAGGTATTATTAATTGTGCTGCTATAAACATTGGTATGCAAGTATCACTGTAGTATAATGTCTTAAGATTTTTGGGGAAAATATCTAGCAGGGGATGGCTGAGTCATATGGAATTTTTAATTTCAGTTCTTTGAGAAATCTCCGTACTGATTTCCATAATGATTGTACCAGTTTACATTCCCACCAACAATAAAAGAAGGTTCCTTTTTTCACCACAGCCATGCCAGCGTTTGTTACTGTATGAATTCTTAAAGATTGCCATTCTTTCCAGAATAAGGTGGAATCTTAGTGTTGTTTTAATTTGCTAAACGTTGAACACCGTTTACATATATATGTTGACCATTTGTATTTCTTCCTCTGTGAAGTGTCTGTTCAATTCTGTTGCCCATTTCTTGACTGAGTCTTTAGTTTTAGGTGGTTCAATTTTTTTGATTTCTTCACATATCCCAAATATTAGTCTTCTAAAGAGTAACTGTCAAAATTTCTTTCCCACTCTGTAGGTTGTCTCTTCATTCTACTAATTGATTCTTTTGCTGTATAGAAGTGTTTTAGTCTTATATAATCCTCTTTGTTGATTTCTCTGTTATTTCTTGTGCAATTGAGGTTCTGTTTAGAAAATCCTTTCCTGGGCCAGGGATTTATCTCAGTGTTGCTGCTCTCTGCCTCGCAAGAGCAAGGTCCTGAGTTTGATCCCCAGTATCAAAAAAAGAAATAAAATCCTTTCCTACACCTATGTCTTCATGGTAAACTTCAAGATAAAACTGATTAGAAGAGACAAAGAAGGTCACTACATACTAGTTAAGGGAACAATCCAACAAGAAGAGATAACATTGATAAACATATATGCACCAAATACCACAGCACCTATAGTCATAAAACTAAAATTACTGAAAAAAATAATTAAATAAACATTAACACAATCACTGTAGGGGATTTTAAACACCCTTTTGCAAAGAGATAGAGCACCTAAACAAAAAACTGATAAAGAGGGAAGGGGAAAGGAAGGAAGGGAAAAAGCAAAAAACAAGAAAAGAAGGAAAGAATGGATACAAAGCATTTGTAAATAAGGAAGGAAAGAGGAGTTGAAGGGAGAGGAGGGGAATGGGAAAAAATAAATCAAGATGTATCATGTACAGGTACAAATTCCCTATGATAAATGTGGTCATTATGTATATCTAAAATATACCAATAAACTTAATTAATTTTAAGAAATCAATAAAGAAATATCAGACCTATACCACTTCTTTGAATATATGTAGCTAATAGATATTTGTAGAGTATCCCACCCCTCTACAACAGAGTATTCATTCTTTTCTACAGCACATGGTACTTTTTCTAAGATAGATAACATACTAGTCCACAAAGTCTGCTTAAGTAAATATAAAATAATTGAAATCACCCCATGCATACTATCAGACCACTGTGCTATGAAAACAGAAATCAATGACAGAAGAAATTTTGGAAAAGGCAAAAGCTCCTGAAAAATTAACAATATACTCCTAAACAATCAATGGACCACAGAATAAATCAAAGAAAAATTTTTTTTTAAATTTCTGGAAGTTAATTACAATAACTGTACAACTTACCAAAACCTTAGGGGCACCATGAAAGCAGTTCTAAGAGGAAAATTCACTGCAATCAATGCTCAGATTAGGAAAACAGACTAACCCCCAAAAAATACCCTTATGCAAAATCTTAACATACTTGAGAAAACACAAATCAGTCCCAAACCAAAATTAAGTAGGAAAATTATAAATATGGGAGCAGAAATCAATGAAATTGAGACCAAAAAACAGTTAAAAAAAAAGAATCAAAGAGCTGGTTCTTAAAAGAATATAAATAAAATAGATAAGCCTTTAGCCAGACTTACCAAGAGAAAGAGAGAAGACTCACATCAATTCAATTAGAAATGAAAAAGATGAAATCACAACAGACATTGTCAAAATACAGAAGATATTAAGTACTTTGAAAAATTACATTTCAAAAATTAGCAAATTTTAAAGAAATGGATCCCTAAACACATACAAATTACCAAAACTAACCCAAGAAGATATAAATATGCTTAATAACCCAAAATATGCAATGAAATTGAAACAGTTATATAAAGTATCGACCAACTAAAAAAAGTCCAGGACCTGATAGATTCACTGCTGAATTCTACAAAACTTTTCAGGATGTTATATCACCAATGCTCCTCAAGCTCTTCAAGGACATTGAAAGGGATGTAGTGCTCCCAAATTTATTTATGGAAGCCAGTATCACCCTGATCCCCAAACCAGACAAAGACCCAACTGAAAAAGAAAACTATAGGCCAATCACCTTAATTGTCATAGATCTCAAAATTCTCAATAAGATATTAGCAACTAGAATGCAGCACATCATCAAAATGATCATACATCACGATCTAGTAGGTTTCGTCCCAGAGATGCAAGGATGATTCAACATAAGTAAGCCAATAAATGTAATACATCACATAAATATCAACAAGGTCAATAACCATATGATCACATCAATAGATGCAGAAAATGCCTTCAACAAAATCCAACACCTCTTCATAATAAAAACCCTGAAGAAAACAGGTATAGAAGGAACATATGTGAATATGATAAAAACTATTTATGACAAACCAACTGCCAAATGCGAAAAAACCGAAAGCATTCCCCCCTAAAATCAGAACCAAGACAAGGATTTCCATTACTACTTCTATTCAACATAGTACTTGAAATATTAGCCACACCAACCAGGCAAGAGAAAGAAATACATATAGGAAAGGAAGAACTCAAATTATCATTATTTGCAGATGACATGGTACCCTACATAGAAGACCCAAAGAACGCTACCAAAAACCTCTTAGAATTAATAACCAACTGCAACAATGTAGCAGGATACCTGATCAACATGCAAAAATCATTACCATTTGTGTACACCAATAATTAACTCAATGAGAAGGAAGTCATAAAAACAATACCATTATCAGTTGCTTCCTAATACCTAGGAATTTACCTAGCCAAGGAAGTGAAATATCTCTACAAAGAAAACTACAGTACTTTGATAAAGGAGAATGAAGAGGACATAAGAAAATGGAAAGGTACTCCCTAATTCTTTATAGGCAGAACCAATAATGTCAAAATGGCCATACTTCCAAAAGTGTTATACAGATTTAGTGTAGTCCTAGATTCACTGCAGTACTTTACAGAACTAGAAAAAATAGTCCTAAAATTCAGAGACCCACAATACAAAAGCAATTTTGGGCAACAAGAGCAAAGCAGCAGGCATAGCAATATCTGACTTCAAGGTATACTACAAAGCTTTAGTGATAAAAATGGTATAATACTGGAACAAAAACAGATACATGGATCAATGGAACAGAATAGAGGATACAGAAACATTCCCAGACACAATTCAACGATTTGATCTTCGACAAAGTGGCCAAAAACATATGTCAGAGGAAAGGTAGTCTATTCAAGAAGTGGTGCTGGGAAAACAAGTTATCTGCCAAAGATTGAAACTGGACCGTTATCTCTCACCTTATACTAAATTAAAATCAAAATGGACTAGAGATCTAAACATTAAAATGGAAACATTAAACCTACTTGGAGATAATATAGGTAAAACACTTGAAGACATAGGTATCCATATGGCTTTGGCAAGAGAAGCTGGGAAAAGAGCTTTCTCTGTAAGAACGTTCTTGCTTCAAAAAAAATGAAGTCTTTGTTAGGAAGGGAAATGGATATCATATATGAGCAAGGTTCAAAACAATAAGTCATATATAAATAAATACTGAAAATAACAAAACAAATTCATAATGAGGCAAAAATGATGGGGGAAATCTTAATTAACCAAAGAAGTAGAGGAGGTAGCATATGAGCTGTGACATGAAAGATGAGTTGGACCTTTACAGGAGAACAAAGCTTGAGGAAAATGTAATCATCACCACATTAGAGTACAGGAAGAGAGTTAGGTGTGGGGAAGATTGTGGTGGGAATTAACTTTAACAAAGAAGATTCAATGCTAGAAATAGAGCCATTTGATTGCCATGACAAGAGGGGAGATTAGTACAAGGATTATACATCCATGCTGACCAGTCTATTTGAGGAGAAATTTTTTCCTTCCAGGCAGCATGGTTATCTAATTTTTTCCTTCAGGATTCTTATGCTTATCAGAGAACAAAGGAAAGAAAATGGATGGCTGAATTGAGCACGGTTATGACTGGTAGGATAGGTGCTGCATATTGTTAAGGAATGAGATGACAGAAATATGATGAGAATGAAATGGTTGAAGACAAGTTCAAGGACTGAGTCAGTGTTTTAGTAAGGATAGAGACAACAAGAAGAAAAAGAAACAGAAGCATAAATAATACCTATAGAAAAAATCAAACTAGAAGTGAATTATATCTCAGAAAATAAAATAGATGCATGGATAATAACTATATAAAAATCACTTAGAAGTTAATTATATCTCAGAAAACATGAATCCACTCTTACTTTCTTCCCTTACAAGGTATGCAGTCTAAACACAAATCCAAAACATATCATGTCTCAAGGAGAAAGAACAGACACAAAATAAGATTTTTGAATTATGTTATTTCACAAAAAAGGCAGAAAGGTATATGATTAAATGTATTGTCCAGGATGTAAAATCAATATAGCCTAAGGAAAATAGTCATAAAAATCACTTTCTCTTCATAGCAAGAGGCAAAAAACAATATAAAATTAAATATTATCTGACTTTCTGAATAAAACAAATTTATGTATACATGCAAATTAATGTAATACACACCTTTTTCAACATTACACAAACTAGATTCAAGTGTTGTATCATTTGTATTCGTAGAATAGAAAATGATCTTAAATACTAATATTACTCATATAAACATTTTATTTGGAATTAAATAACTTCATGAGTTTATGACTTGGTGGTTGTTTGGTTAAAAGAAATACAACATGAGGTCGGGGATTAGCTCAGTGGTTTCACCGCCTGCTGCGCAAGTTCAAGGACCCGAGTTTGATCCCTGGTACCAAAAAAAAGAAATACGACAAGGCATTGGCAACTCAAAGGAAAAAAGTAAAAACTGAAATCTCGCCTATAAAATAATAGTTCTAAAGACCAAAAGAAGCATAGCCGGTGCTACAGTTTATAATAAATATGGTAAGCTACTTATATTTTGTAAAAAATTTATATTTGTCCATGATCATTGAATTTCCATGGCAACCACAAGGGCTATCCCAGTCCACTCAATTCTCATTAGGATGGAGAAATACAGGAAAAATCATTAGTGTTCTGGGCTTTTTAGATACCTTTAGAGAAATATCAGGTTGTTGGCCAGAACCTATAGCTTTAAAACTTATAACTGTTCAAACAAATTAAAGTATATCTAGACTATATTAAATGTATGGAAATATATCTTTACTAATTATTTCAATAGAAGCCAGTATTATCAGTATTGTAAAGAGTTAGTTAAATGAATCTGCAAAATAGTGATAAAAGTGTACCTCACATGCTTCATAAATTATGACCTGAGATTGTGTTAAATCAATCCAGGTTAATACAGGCATATCAATGATCTCCAAATCTAATGGGCGAACAGACCTGCTCTTCACTTGCTAAATTTAATCAACACCTCCACCAATACCTTCACATTAAAAGTGAGTGAATTTAATTTAATATTCATGGCTATTCTTATAGCACTTCCCATTACAAACACTTATAGAAGTATACAAAAATCTTGGTTTGAACATTCTCATATTCACCAGACAATAAAGTGAAAGCAATATTTCTACAAACCAAAATTCTTCTGTGATGTGAAGTACTTTTAGATTCTAAACAATGACTATTTCTAAATTAGAAATAGAGAAAGGGAGAAGGGAAAGGGAAATAAAGACAGAAGGAAGGAAACAGGAAGTTAGGAACTCATAATACAGATTGATGGTAAGATGCACAATAGGCTATTATTCTGGGGACACTTTCAGGGAGAAAAAGGACAAAGAGAATTATAAAATTTTCGCCATCACATAGCTATCCATTTATTTAGCACTGATTTATATACTTTCTATTACAGAAGTTTTCCATATGTTTAATCTTTATGATTTATATTGTCACTCCAGTTTACAGACAAGGCAACTCATAGAATACTGATCTAGATTAAAAAAAGAAAAACTAGTGAGAAACTAAGGTTAGTTTTGAGATCAAGTCCACCTGACTCCAAAGTTTATTTAACTTTCCACTCACACAGAATTGGACTTCAGCCTCCTATAAAGCACTATATGAACCACTGAAGGTACAAAGATTCACATCTTTCCATATACCTGAAAAGCCATAACAGGTACAAAAACTGAAGATGTCATATTGATATTCACCTGTAACTCGCCATTTCATTTCCTTAAATGATACCTTGTGTTTTCAAAAGGTCCTCATAGAACATCACAATGATGTTTCAAAAATCTGACAGGCTACTTGGTTAAAGTCAGAGTTTAGCAGTTACCAGAGTTCCTTTTTTAACAGGCTTGTTATATGAAATTGCAGATTTCAAAAAAAGGCAGGAGCAAAGTTAAGAGTATGCTTAGCAGAGGACTGCTGGGCACAGTGGTGCACACCTGTAATAATAGCACTTTGGGAGGCTGAGAAAGGAAGACTGCAAAATTGAGCACGGCCAGCCTGGGCAATTTAGTGACTTAAGAAGACTGTCTCAAAAAAATAAAATTAAAATTAAAACAGAGCTCAAGACACAGTTTAGTGTGAAGCCCTGGGCTCAGTTCCCTGTACCACATATGCACAGAAAAATATAAATGACCATCAAAAACAGTAAGTCTGAGATTTTTCTCTATTAATTTTCTTATTAAATTACAATTTGGGGTTTTAATTTTATTAACTGAATTTTATTAGATGTATTAAATATTATAATTTGACCTTTCAAAAATCCTCAATCACGAAAAATTTAAGTCATTCAGAGTCATATCTCATCACAATTATCATACAAAACTAAAAAAAAAAATCACCGTGTCCACTAATATCTGTGGTGTTAAGTTTATTTGTCAACATAGCCAGACTGTGACACTCCATTATTTGGTCAACGCTAACTCGCTGTTGCTGTGAAGATGTTATTTAGATGTGATTAATATTTAAGTCAGTAGACTCTTGAAAGCATTGGCAAAGATCATATATATTTAAAATTGCATATTGTGATGAGTTATGTATATATTGTGTGATGGTTATCACCAGCAAATTAATTAATATTCAGATTAATTTTCAGAATTTTGGTGAGTCTTACACAATAAGCTGAAAGCCTTAAGAGATGAGAAACCCCTGAGGAAATATTAACTCTGCCTCCAAAATGCCCTTGGACTAAAGACTACACCATCAACTTTTTTCTGGGTAACCAAACTGCACTGAAAAGTTCACACTTGCCAGGCCACCCAACTGTGTAAGCCTAGCCAGTTCCTTAAAATATCTTTCTTTATCACCTCCATCTCCACCTCCATCTTCATCTCTGTCTCCTGTTGGTTTTGTTTCTCTGGAGAATCCTAATAGTACAAGATCCACACTTTCAAATCCTATTTATGTATGCAAAAATAAGTTCCCTTAGTGACAATTATCTAGGTGATTTCTATGCTATAGGCAGAAATACTGAGTAGACAGAAAATGATTAATACTCAAATACATGGATGAATGAATAAGTGCATGTATAAATCAAATGAATAGAATCAACCATTACCTTTAGCTGGACGAATGGAAAAAGCAATCCCATTTACTGAGTTTACTGGTTGCCATCCAAACTGGGCAGACTTGTTCTGATGATTATACAACCTAACTGTCCCCCAGAAGCATGTTTTCACTAAGAAGCCTCGTGGTCTCAACACTATCTCATCTGAAGATAGCTCAAGTTTTACTGGCAGGACTTCTGCCGTCACTAAGATGTGTCCACTGGGTATGTTGTTCACTGTAAAGGAGAAAGATCTGCAACACAGCAAGATAATACAGATTTAACTAGTAATAGTGCTTTGTAGTTACAGAATTCAATTACACATACAAATGCATATACTATAGATTAATATACATATTGAATTCATAGTGTAATAATTTGAAATGATTATGAAAGAGAAGTAGATGACTACTAAAATATAAACCTATGAGTCTACAAATTTATACACATAGTTTCTATATTTTGGAATCAAATATAGTATTCACTATAATTATTTGGGTAAATATATACTCCATCATGATTCTAAAAATACAGAAATTTGAAAAATAAAATCTTACCTCCAAAATTTTCCAATGGTAGAAGTTTCAAATATTATTGGAATATGAGTACTGGATGTAGGTGGGATCACATATGAAAATATTTTAGTTTTCTGAAGTTCTTCAAAATTGATATCTAACTTAATCAATATATGTATAGATAGCATATTAATAAGATGCAGTGGATGAGTATTTGTCGAGTTCACACAAATATTACCAAAGTTAAGGACAGAGGGCCCTAAAATACGAAGAGGAAGTTATTGAGTTTAATGTTGGCAAATGTGTTCATTTATTTTGCATGTTTTCAAAATTTATTTTCATCAAGTTGTATACAAATGATAAATATTCACTATTAGATTCATTTTTATCTAATTACTATAACTTAGTATTTGGAGATTTTTGCCTAAAATTCAAAATGAATATATTCTAATTATATGAAAAATTGTATGACAAAATAATAAGCATAATAAAAGCATACTAATTTGTAACACTCCACCAATCTCTACTCCCAATAAAATTATTTTATTAACTTATTTGTAATTTACAAAAATGGGTAATTTGCCTATCAATCGTTACCTAAAATTTCCCTTTAAGTGCTAAAGAGACTTCCACATGATCAAGTAGAGAAGGAGCTACATTGGAGAAGCTGAGATGACAGACACAGGATAAAGTATTCTGAAGTAGGGGAAGGCAAATACACCCAGAAATGGAAAATTAACCTGAAAAGTGAATTCTGTAGATTGAACCAAATATTTGAGTAGTTAAAAAAGAGAAGCAGAACCATTGCTGGTCTGCTGCCCCCCTACACACACACACACACACACACACACACACACACACCTTACCTAGGGAACACATCATCTTGGAGCAATTTTAACAACCTAAGAGAAGGAGACAGCACTGTAAAAGCCAACAGAGTCCTTACATACTTTCCCTGATACTTGAAAGAGAAAACACAGCATGGGAATGCAACCAGAGAGAGGAAAGCTAGCAACACAAAGGCAATCTGGTCCCTTTCATTCTCCCAAACACCAGGGAACACTGTGTCCCTGTGTCATCCTACTCACTGCTCAGCATCAACAAGGGAACCCAGAGAAAGGCTGAACACCAAGAAGTGTGGAAAGCACCGTGCTTGCTGGCAGGGAGCCACAAATGGTATCGCAGGAGACAGGAGAGAGAGGGAGAGAGTCAATGGAGTTGGACCAGAGTGAGTGCTTTCCTATCATTTCTCCAATCACCAGAAATACGCCCACTGCCTACCATCCCTCACAGGCAAAGGAGGCACTCTGCTAAGCCTAAGCACTACACTAAGTTCCTCAGGTTGGAAAATGGAGCTCTTGAGACAGAGACTAGGGTGGAAGGAATAGAGGGTCCCCTGGGGAAGAGGGCTTCTGGTGATATACTAGGCAGAAGACCTGTCCCAATTACTTCCTCATCACTGAGACACAATAGCTGACATCCATGACTGAAAAGAGGAAAGATTTATTTTGGCTTAGAGTTTATAGAAGTTTCAGTACATAGCTCCAAGAGAAGCAGAAGCAGAAGAAGAGGAGGAAAAAGAAGAAGGGGAGGGGGAGGGGGAGAGGGGGA